ATCCCTGGGTCTGAATGACCCCCTGGAGGAGGAAATGGCAATGCACTCCAGCATTCTTGCCTGGAGAATCCCATGGACAGAGGAGCCTGGCGGGCTAAAGTCCATGGGGTCTCGAAGAGTCGGACACGACTGAAGTGACTTAACATGCATGCCTGCCGAAACTAAAAAGTTCGTGCTTGCCACAATGAAGGTCCTGTGTGCCTCAACTAATGCCCAACACAGCCAAATAAGTATATTAAAAAATAAAAATATCAGAAGACTAAAGGAGAAGAAATTGACTCAGAGGTGGTAAGAAGCAAGGTAAAATTCAGAGATATGAAAGGCTGGATCTTAGGCCTATTTTACATTCAGCCGAGTGTCACATCTTACTTTTGCAATTTTGGATAGCAATTTTAACTCTTTTCACTGTTTTAATATGTCTGTAATCTATTTCAGAAACCAAGCTCCCCAAACCACTCCCAGGATATTTTGAGTCATTCTGACTAGCTTTTTGTTTCACTGGCATACAAGTGAGAATATGGGACTCAGCTCACAGTGATCTATTCTAATTTCTCAGCTCACTGACTATTCTAATTATCCAAAACTTAGCACCATCTATTCAACACTCTTCACTGAGTTGGATGTAACATGGTGTGAATTTGTGTGTGTTACATAGAGTGTGCACATTTAATAAGTAAGTTCTGCTAAACAGAATATCAGGGAATCTTGTCAACCAGTCATCTTTCAAAAGAATGTGTATGCCAGTGTCTTAAAAAGAAGTTAATTTTTTCAAATAAGCCTCACAGTAATTTTAGTAGTCTATATAAAACTGCTCCTACATAAACACCAAACAGAACAAATTGTTTTTCACTCAGATATACTCTTAAAGAATTATACATTGAAAGTATGTTTTTTTAAGTAAATGTTACAGTTATATTCATTTTGAATGATTACAATAAACCAACACATGAGCTTTATGATGTATGGGTTTTTTTTTTTTGATGTATGGGTTTAAATTATATTTTAAAAACGTATATAAGGATTTCCCCCCATTAATTTAAATAAAGCCATTATTCTACATAAACACATTTGAATTGAATTGCCTTTCTAAAAGCCAAAGTATTCAGTTGTAAAATATCTATTTAATGCATGATATAATTCATTATTAATATCCAAGTTTAAAAGAAGAAGAAAACAACCACTGCAAGCTAATATCTTCTGGAATGTGGACAAGATGGTAATGAGTTAAAATGATGGGGAAATTTTGATTTAATTTTGGTTACTCAATTTTACTTTCATTATTTTGATTGCTCAATAAAAACTTTGCAGTAATCTGCTCATTAGAGTTGTTTCCTCTTCAAACAAAAGTTTTGTGGGAGAAATTGGGCTTCACGAGTGACAGACTTTTTGGTCACCCCACCAGGGAGGGATCGTTAGAGGGAAGCTAACAGTGTAAACACCCAGGTCTGGGTCTGGTGCTCCTTTTTGCAGGTCTGGGGAGTTGATGGCCGGCACGTGTAAGGCTACCATGTCCCAGCATGCTGACGTCACGGAAACTCACATAAAGTGTGTTTATGTTCCATCTATTGGGTGTAGGGGGGCTGCCCAGCTGGCTCAGTGGTAAAGAAGCCTCCTGCCAATGCAGGAGACCCAGGAAGTGCAGGTTTGATCCCTGAGTCAGGAAGATCCCGTGGAGAAAGAAATGGCAACCCACTCCAGTATTCTTGCTGGGAAATCCCATGGACAGGGGAGCATGGCGGGCTACAGCCCACGGGGTTGCAAAGAGCTGGACACGACTGAGCACACAGGCAAACACAGGAATTGTGTTACAGGCTGCTGTTCAGTTGCTCTGTCGTGTCCGCCTCTTTGTGACCCCGTGGACTGCAGCACGCCAGGCTTCCCTGTCCTTCACCACCTCCCGGAGTTTACTCAAACTCATGTCCATTGAATCGGTGATGCCATCCAACCATCTCATCCTCTGTCACCCCCTTCTCCTCCCACCTTCAGTCTTTCCCAGCATCAGGGTCTTTTCTAATGAGTTGGCTCTTCGCATCAGGTGGCCAAAGTATTGGAGCTTCAGCTTCAACATCTGTCCATCCAATGAATATTCAGTGTTGACTTCCTTTAAAATTGACTGGTTTGATCTCCTTGCAGTCCAAGTGTTACATAGATTATAAATATTCTCTTCCAATTTGTAGTTTGTTTTCACTCTATTTGTGTTGTGTGTTGATAGCAGTTTGAATTTCTAATTTTAATTAGACATAGTTTATCAATCTTTAGTATTTAATTTTGTATGCATATGAGCTTTACTTAATAAAAGCTGCAACAACAATGACATATATCCTCTATTTTCTTCTATTTTTAAAGTTTATTTTGTATTAAAAATCTTAATCTAAATGAAAGTATATGTATGTATGTGTGTGCACACATGGTCAAGATAAAGATCTAGTTTTATTATTAGCATTTGTACAGTTAATTATCTTAGTAGCTATTCTGAGGGGTTTATCATATTTCTGGGCTTCCCTGGTGGCTCAGTGGTAAAGAATCCACCTGATAATGCAGGAGACTCAGGTTTGATCCCTGTGTCAGGAAGATCCCCTGGAGAAGGAAATGCAACCCTCTCTAGTATTCTTGCCTAAAGACTTCCTTGGACAGAGAAGCCTGACAAGTTACAGTCCATAGGGTCGCAAAGGGTCTGACATGGCTGAGCGGCTAAACAACAACTAGGTATACGGGATACTTGTCTTCCCCAGTGATCAGTTTTGCCCATCCCTTTGTGGGATGTCATGGAAACCAGATTACAGCAGAAGTTAGTCAGTGCTCTCAATGGTTCTGGTTGGGATGCTGAGATAATGCATCTCCTCCTCTCCTGTTACACTGTTGCCACTAACCAGATATTTATATTCATCCACAGTAAAAGCTTAAATACTTTTAAAATACCTTAAATTCTGTTCAACGTACTTTATACTATTATTTATTTTTGTATTTAATTCTCAATATTTTTAGCACTAACTCTTGTATAGCTTACACATGTGTTGGTTTATATCTCATTATTGTACTGGAAGATTTTTAAGTTAAATGAAAAATGGAAATGCTAAGGAAGGTACACTTTTCATCTTTTCACATGAAAAATTCATGAGAAAATAGTTTCATCAGCTATGTATTGATTTATATAAGTTAGGGATTTAAAATACAAGTTATGTTCTGAATTATAATATTTTATTCAGTTTTTATCTGCACTTATAATCTTAAGCACAAGAGATGGTTTATTTTTGATAAACTTGCAGATAATTTTCAGGGTATACAAGTGCATCAGAAATATTATAATAAATATTTCAGTAACATTTGGGGACATCAATATATCTTAAATTGAATCTGTCAGTCAAAGTAAGAAAGAATTCATGTTCATTGAGGTCTGTTTTGTTTTAGCTACTGCTGGAAATACAGAGATAAGTGGATATGGTTCCTGTTCACAGGAGGCCTACAGACCAGTAGATAGAGAGATATGAAAAAAAAAATACTCTATAGTAAAGCATTTGCCTATGTTGGAGAAGGGAATGGCAATCCACTTTAGTATTCTTGCCTGGAGAACCCCATGGATAGAGGAGTCTGGTGGGTTACAGTCCATGGGGTCACACAGAGATGGACACGACTGAAGCAACTTAGCACTGCACTTGCCTACACAGAGGTAAATACAAAAATCTGCACAGTTGTAAATATGAAACTTTGGGATCCATTTGAGGCCACCTAGAAAGACTGCCTAGAGAAAGCAGCACCTGAGTAGAGATGATGTCAGTAGAGAGATGTCAGTCCTTGCAACTGACAAGTTGCCAAGGACCTCCAAGCCGAAGGGACCATCGTCTACCAAGACAAAAACGTGAGCAAATATAGGAGATTCTGGGATCTCAAAGTAGCTTACTGGGCTGGAAGTAGAAATGAACAAGGAGAGCAGTCAGTTCGGAAAGGGATATCCAACCCCTGAGAATATTTTAGGGTCTTATAAGGAAAGAGGCAGTGGTTTTGTTCACTTAGACTTCACGTTCAGATCATCAAAAGTTCACAAGAAATGCTAAGAAATATAGATGATCTGATTTGCAAAGCAGAAATAGAGGCCGAGAACAAATGGATGGATTCCCAGGTGGAATGGCGGGGTTGGGGGAGGGGGGTTGAGGTGGGATGACCTGGGAGATTGGGATTGACATGCACACACTGTTGTTTAGTCGTGTCCGACTCTTTGCGACCCCGTGGACTGTAGCCCGCCAGGCCCCTCTGTCCATGGGATTCTCCAGGCAAGAACACTGGAGTGGGTTGCCATTTCCTTCTCCAGGGGATCTTCCAGATCCAGGGATCAAACCTGGGTCTCTTATGTCTCCTTCATGGGCAGGCGGGTTCTTTAACATTAGCGCCACCTGGGACTAAGTGGTGAATAGAGGGTTTAAAAGCTATTAAATAATAGTAGATATATGGAGCAGGAACACAAATCTCCATCCTAAGTGTCACCTCTTCTTCCTGTAAGGCTCCCAGAAGAGCCACACGTAAGGAAAATGGATATTTAACGCTGTCCAGGCGACTGAACATGAGGGCAGCCCCAGAGCTGCCAGACTGGAGTGCAGTTTCTGAACCAGAGTCTCGGGCCTTCGTGTGCACACAGGTCACCAAGGGATCGTGCTAACCTGCAGCTCCTGCTTCGGTCAGCCTGGGGCCACTGGAGGCTCACTTTGGACAACAAGGCTATCAACACTAAGGTCTCGGCTGCTCATCGTGGTACCTGGAGAGGCTGAAGTAGCCCCCACGCACTGCGTCGCTGCCAGCGAGCCTGGTTTCCGTTGCCCTGGTCTGGCGTGCGGCCTGGGTGTCGGGGTGGCCGAGATTCAGCCTCCTGCTTGAACACTAGGACCCCTGCCCTTCTCACGGTGACCCAGCACCCATAGCGAGACCAGGGCGGGCCGCCTGAAGACGAGTGTGGCAGCGAAGGACTTGTCCCAGAGATCAGACGCTATTGGAACCTTCCTGAGTTTTGCCTAGCAGCAGTGGATCAGAACACAGTTGTTCTTTCGCAGAAGGGTGTCGGTCGTGTACTGGAAAAACGGGGTAGGGCTATTTTGCGGAGCTCCTGGTCCCGGGAGTAGGCCGAGGCTCAGCTGAACATGTCCAGTAAAGAACAGCAGCGCATCTTGCGGGGGTTCGGCGAGGTTGGGGGTGTCCTTTCGGCTCCGGGTCCTCAGCACCGTGGTGTGGTACCTGCCAGGGTCGAGAGTTTAGGATCCACAGGGAAATGGAGCACACAGGTTCTCGGCTCTGAATGCCCGAGACACAGCCTTCCAGCCCGATCTGGAGGGAGCCAGAGGCTGGTCAGCGCCACCGTCAGATCCAAGGGACGTAAACTCTCAACCTTGCCTGCGTGCATGCTCAGTTGCTTCAGTCACGTCCGGCTCTTTGTGACCCCATGGACTGTAGCTCACCAGGCTCCTCTGTCCATGGGGATGCTCCAGGCAAGAATGCTGGAGTGGGTTGCCATTCCCTGCTCCGGGGGATCTTCCTGACCCAGGGATGGAACCCTCGTCTCTTGTGTCTCCTGCATTGGCAGACGGGTTCTTTATTACCACTAGGCCACCTGGGAAGCCCCTCAACCTTGCAGCTGCTTCATAAGTCGGAAAAAAAGTTAGGTCCACGCATGTGCACAGCCCTGACAGCGCTGATGCAGATGCCAAAGTGAAACAGGTGGCCTTGGAGAAACACAAAATCATGGAATTCATTTCTAAGGTGCCATGGCTGTGGGCCAGGAGACCTCAGTCCACAGCGGGGGACACCTAACAACCTGGAACAATTTTCTTTTGTCAGCAATAATAGTGAGCATTTGGTAAACCGTGACTAGTTGACAAAGAGTATCCTAAGAATTGAGCGTATGTGATCGAAATTAGCCACAAACAGCACACCGAGTCGTAGGTGACATCTCCTCTTGGCGCATGTGGAAACAAGGCACACAGCTGATCCACAGATTGCCAAGGTCACACAGGGCCATCCAAGTGCCTCCACAAAGACAGCTGTCCCCAGAAGCTGCACTTCTGAGCACTATGACCGTACGCTCATAAGCCCGGCCCTGTCCCTCCCTGCAGAAGCCTAGCCATCTCTAAACAGAGAATGCGTGTTATATCTTCAGATCGCTGGTGATGGAAGTTCTTTCCACCCTGCTGCATGACTGGCAAGTGATTGCAACCCCTGAACTTCGCATTTTATTCCCTTTCCCTGGGACTTAGGGGGCAAACACCAGAGCCTCCATGGATTCATTCTTCAGTAACAGCTGCGGCTCCATATGCTAAGTCGATTTTGGTCTGATTGCTCTCCTGTGAACTGGGAGTGCTAACAACAGTGTAATTGGAAGCTGGAGTTAATTACTAAGACTTGAAAATTTTCAGAAAAGAACGCTAGGGGAAAATGTGTCCTTTAAAAATAAAAGACCTTGGTCTATGGTTAGTTGGCCTTAACTTACCGGATCCCTGATTTACACCAAGAATAATTTCTGGGTGATAGTCTAGTTTTACTTTACAAACGGAATTGTTGTAAATGTTTCCCAAGAGTTATGATGCCCCGGGTTAATGTCATCTTCTCACATATAAGTCACAGTAGACCAGTGAAATATTCAAATTCTCACAGACTATCTACTTTATACGTTTTTCACGATAGAATTGTGAATCGAAAGAAACCTCAGTTTTATGTATTTCCACCTTCCTTCTTCCCATTAAGTTAATGACGGGAGAATTGGAAAGTGAGCTCCCTTGCAGTTTATAGATGAAAAAAATCAAGGCCGAGGGGTGAGGTTGGCTCAAGGTCAAACCAAATGTCAACTGCAGATAGAGAATTATAATAAGAATGATGCAGGGCTTTAGACTTTAGGACCAATTTAGCAAATTGGCAATCAGTTTACTGCCCTGGGGGCTGACAGACTCTGAGCCTAGCCATCAAGTAGGTGATTGGTTGATAACGTCTGCAGAGGCTGGTGGTGGAGCAGGGATGAAAGATTTGCTGACCCTTGACAAGAAGAGGGGCTCATGGACTTTCAGCATCCCAGTGGTATTCCATCAGTTCAGTTCAGTCGCTCAGTCGTGTCCGACTCTTTGTGACCCCATGGGCTGCAGCACGCCAGGCCTCCCTGTCCATCACCAACTCCCGGAATTTACTCAAACTCTTGTCCATCAAGTCAATGATGCCATCCAACCATCTCCTCCTCTGTCATCCCCTTCTCCTCCTGCCCCCCATCTTTCCCAGCATCAGGGTCTTTTCAAATGAGTCCGTTCTTGACACCAGGTGGTCAAAGTATTGGAGTTTCAGCTTCAGCATCAGTCCTTCCAATGAATATTCAGGACTGATTTCCTTTAGGATGGGCTGGTTGGATCTCCTTGCAGTCCAAGAGACTCTCAAAAGTCTTCTGCAACACCACAGTTCAAGAGCATCAGCTCTTCGGCCCTCAGCTTTCTATATAGTCCAACTCTCACATCCGTACATGACTCCTGGAAAAATCATAGCTTTGACTAGATGGACCTTTGTTGGCAAAGTAATGTCTCTGCTTTTTAATGTGCTGTCTAGGTTGGTCATAGCTTTTCTTCCAAGGAGCAAGTGTCTTAATTTCATGACTGCAGTCACCATCTGCAGTGATTTTGGAGCCCAAGAAAATAAAGTCTCTCACTGTTTCCACTGTTTCCCCATCTATTTGCCATGAAGTGATGGGACTGGACGGGACAATCTTAGTTTTCTGAATGAAATTACTTCAAAATAACTGGAAGAATAAATTCTGTAAGTGAAATGCATAAAATTGCAGCACTGAATATGAAGATGATGTGTGATTCTAAAATAAAATGACTCAAATATTTTTGACACGGTTCCACAAATAGCTGCTCTATAAAAGTTCATTGAGTTCAGCATAAAACATAATTAGACAACAACCAGAAAAATAAACTTGTCTTTGCAGAAAAGTAAATATTTTATGGCAAAAATAGATTGCAGACGTAAATAAATCTGACATTTATGGGCAGTGAATGATTGTTATGTCATCCATGCTTATAAGGAGAGATGGCAGCATTCAAGATATTATATGGCATTGGGACAGCTCAGTACCTCATTTAGTATAAATGTCAGTGCACTTTATGGCTCACCTTCATTGTGCTGATTTTGACACGATTTTTCTGAAACATGATTTTTCATCTTTAGTTTAACACACTTTGTTTCCGATTGAAGTCACTAACTGTGCAAACATAAGTTGCAACTAAGATCTAACTCAGTCTCAACAGGGGGTGGTTTTGCTGCCCACCCATCAAGGACAGTTAGCAATGTCGGGGGACATTCTGAACATCAGGACTGGTTGGGAGGAAGGGGGTGCCACTGGGTGGAAGCCAGTGATGCTGTTAAGTGTATTATAATGCACAGGCCCATCCCGCCTCCAAAGACTTATCCAGCCTGAAATGTCAACACTGCCATGGTTGAGTAACCCTGATCTAACTGGATTACAAATCTAAATGAAATTATGTAAAATCTTTCAATTTCTTAAAATATAAGCTAGTTACTTAATCACTTAATAGGCTCCAACCTCAGGTACCAGTCTAAATATACTTCACAAATTAGCCAGTAAAGGTTTCAAGGGAGAAAATTTTCAAGGAGGATGTGATGTCGGGGAAATAAAATTGTATGCATTTTCCATCCAATTTTCTGACTCATATTATCCAGGCACTGTAGTTCTCAGGAACTGAAATTGCCCTCCCATTAAAGTGATTGCTGTGGAAACAATTCACTGGGGACTATAAAACACACTTTTGTTTTCAGCCTTACCAACTCCACCCAGGAAGGTTCATGCCCCAGACCCCCAGTGGGTTTCAAAGGAAATCATGTGTTTTACAAAGGACTCCTGTGCTGACCTCTTTTTCCCAAACCAACCAGGCTGAGTAGCCAAACTTGAAGAGCAGGGAAAGTGTATAATCTCTCGGGGTGGTCTGGGAGGGGGAGGTTCTCAGAGTCTCGTGGGGCTGGACCTCCTAGAAAGCAGCCTCCATTGCACTAACATCTTTAACTGAGGATTGAGGTCAAACTGGTCCCAGGACAACTTTAGAGCACGTGACTGTGATGTCTTTACAAAGGTGGTTCTCAAATTCATACTTTTTCCCTGAATGCTGGTGTTGTGAATATGTACAGTATGTACTAAAATTGAAACAGGGTGGGACTCGCTGACAACTAATCGTAACCCACCAGTTCCCATAAGAGCATAAGTTAAAAATTTGAAACGGAATTTGAAGCACATACGTGATCACATGTTATTTCTTTAAAGGTTGGATTGATTGTTGAATAAAATTGGAAGATGCACAGGACTCGATTTTAACTCTCATTGTAAAGCTGCTATGATCCGGACAGTGCTGGACAGAGCCTCTGAGGGGGTCTCATTGTGAAAGACTCCGAGCAGAAGGTAGCCAATGAGTTCTCTTGAAAAGCAGAGCGCGCGTGCTTGGGCAGCACTCAACGCACAAGTAAGACCCCGCAGCTGACTGCCAGATCTGTGCTCTGAAGGCATTTGTGGGGAAGAACAAGGAAAAGGGGCATGGTTTTAGTCCCAGCAGAAGGACCGCCTATTTGTCATATCTAAGGGTCCTGGCTCTTTTCCAGTCATCGCAGAGGGAAGTCTGTCTGTAAATAAGCCCACCAACAAACACAGAGTTTTTACTCAGTTTTTCTTCTTCAATAGGAGAACCAGTTGTTTTAAGAATCCTTACAATATAAAGGAGGAAAAGGGCAAAATGGCTCAGGAGGATGAGTCAAGGAACAGAAAATAATAACAAGAAAGAAAACTTTAATTGGAGGTGCATACAAATTCAAGAAATGAAAAACAAAAAAGAAAAATGTGAGGAAAAGATAAGTGACCCAGACTCTCATCACGGGAGGTACAACTTACAGTAATTTTCAGAAGAGGGGGAAATAAATCATCAAAGAGTGACACATGGTCCTTTCCAAAGTCGAAAGGGCCGAAGAATTCAGCGGGAAGACACCAGGGGGAGACTGACAGATCTTTGCAGGAGAGGATGTCAGGGCTTATGACACTGCCCAAAGCACTCCTTTTCTCCCAGCACAACACACCACTGAGGCATGCATGCCCTGCCCCACCCACCCCCATCCATCCACCACTGAACCAGAGCTAGGAGGGAGCAAGAAGTACCAAGTTACTAGGGTACACTGAGATTTGGGGGGCTTTTTTCCTGTAGTTC